TTAAAACGGAAAGCTGATACTAGTGAATTGGAAAATACTCCTCCACTGAAAAAGTTTAGTAAAACTATGACTCAGAACTCTTATGACTGGTACGTCAAGGATACTTTCAATGTGTGGCATTGTGTTTTGTGTCGGGATGCTAAATTCAGTAGTAAATATTCCACAGGACATGACAAGCCTCAGAAAACTACAAACCATTCTAGGCATGCAAAATGTAAGTCTTTTATATTTATCTTTTTCATTTACTTGTAGACATCTTGCGCTCTTAATATATATATAACCGGTATATAAAATCATTACTTTTAGATTTATATTATGAAAATGCCTTTCTATAATTGTATCATTACTTAATAGATTATTTATTTCATTAAGTTAATGGAATATATTTTTTCGTTGGTCGTCATTGTATAGAAGTAAAGAAAAGTATGATTTACATTTGTAGACGTCGATAAATAGATTTTTGTTTATAGGAAATATGATATTTTATACGTCTTTACGATACTTAAGGAATAATTTGTATCCCTGGTCAATTAGCCAGGTATATTAGTAACGACATTTGTTAAAGGGTAAACGTCAAAAGGTACTGAAAAATCTTAAGAAACACGAGATTTTTAAAAGTTTTTAATGTAATTTAATGAACATTTGCCCCAATATTACTTCATTTACGCCAAAGGAATCAATTTTCTTACTGTATAGATGTAAAGATATGAAATACAATGCGCAAAAAGTTTTATTCTAGAATTTTGAGCTAATATCAATTTCTGACGTCTATTTAAAGTCCGATCAAGTCAAACTATTAATTACCGACACGTGTCTATTTGGCATTTTTATTATACACACACGACGGGCAGTCTACAATATCTACTTGTTGCATACTATATTAGTAAAAATCTCGGACAGATAGCTATCGGTCACAGGTAAAAATTAAAAATCGATAATTCTTTCCGATGTTCCTTCAAGTCGTTGTATTATTGGAGGGTCTTGATGGGGTTCGCATAATATACAGTAGTGAATGAACAAAAATAAAAAGAATGACGAGTAGAAAATTATTTGAATAAAATTTTAATAAGTTGTATTACATGAATATAAATTTATCCTTACATTCAACAGAAAATAAAAACAATCTTTTAATTTCAGCTGCTAATCACCTGATGGCTATCACCAGAAAAAAGAACATAAGTAGTAAAACAGATACAGGTATAAAAGATATAGTGGTTAAACAAATGTCGAAAGATGATCTTGTCGTAAAAACTTATTTAAAGACTGCATATCACCTGGCCAAACATGAGCTACCTAAAACACAGTTTAAGCCAACCTTAGAATTGATAGAGTCAATCCAAGAAGCTCCAATTCACAAATCTGACACTGTAGCATACACAAGCCATCAAAATACCACAGAATTTCAGTCTGTCTTATCATGTATTGTAAAGAAAAACAAGATATATGACATAACTCAGCTGGATATTCGATAACTATAGATGAGTCTACAGATCTTACCAACAAAAAACATTTGATAACTTATATAGAATACATTCACAACTCTGTCAAAGAGACATGCTTTCTTTCAAACATACAGATATCCTCAGGCACTGCCAATGCTGAGATGATTACAAACTTAGTTTTAACTTCTTGTAGTTTGTGTTAAAAACACAATCATTTTGTGACATTTTATAGTGCAGTAAACATTGAAATAGTGCATATACATCTGTTTTCTTTTCATTACTCTGTTGTTATTTATTTTATTTATGTCTTTATGTATGTTGTTCATGTATGTATGTAACGAAATGAAATGAAACTGACTGCTCAATAAAATTGAATTCTGATATAATATTGTATTTGTTTATTATGCTATAATCTGCAACAAAGATATGCCTTGCATTGGCTTTTTTCTTTTCCTAAACATGTGCCTGGATCATCACAAGAGCCCTAAAACACCAAGCAAAGATTAAAAGATGCATAGTTAGTTTAAATAACACATGCACTATACCGAGTACATTAAATACTGCATATAATACACAAGGAAACATAAAACTAGAACGTGACGCGTTTGTCGATTCATTATATGGCAAGGTGAACCACTTCTCCCTGCTAGTCTCATAAAGAGAAGTCACTTCTCCCTGTAATTCTGAAGTAGTGTGAGCCCTGACATAAAGACGATGATGTTTCCAGCAGCTGAAGCTAAAAGACAGATCCACTACAATAGTAGCATGCAACATGACTGGCATTGATAAGTATAAATTACTGGTAATCATCAGTCAATAAGGAGGTGTTTGTCTTCAATTATTACAAGGTTAGAGAGAGAACCTTAAGAGAGGTGTGATGCTCAAGTACTAGGTCTTGCTACATTTGTACAGAAAAATGACTATAGCAACTCTGTACATAATGTGTGATCTGCTGCCACCCCTGTAACAGCTGGCAAAGGCCTTACAGGTAATATGTCATATTTTTTTCACATCCAAAATAGATTTGATACGAAAATGATAAGATAAAATAATTTAAAGCAAATGTATATTTTTTTTACAAATAAAAGATGCAGATTACACAGTTGTCATGGTTGTGAGACCTCTAGTGACTGGAATGCTAAAAACCATCCAATCATTCCAAAAAACAAATTGGGACAATTATGTTACAATCCAGACTGTTATATGGACAATTTGATTTAATATGAGTCCATCAGAAGAGAAAATGGACAAATTTGAAAAAAAAGTATTTAAATAAAAAAAACTCTTTACTTTTTAACATAAACCATGCTTGTTACAGTAGCTCATTAATGATAGAACAAAATAATTTTATCTGACTTTCTAAATTATATGCATCTTTTATAAATTTTCTCACAAAGTAAACATTAATAAACACTTCTTTTAAGGTTTACTTGCCATACCTAGACAAAGTGATAGAGAATTTGTAAGAGGTTTCTAGATTTACCTCTTTTGGAAAGTTTGTGTGTGTTTGATCCAGCTAGAAATTTCAGGGGAGAACACTTGATACACCAAATATTAGGGAAAGTTTACCAACACAGACATCACCACATCTATATTACAAGAAGAAACTATGAAGAATTCTGAATTAGCAGGTGATAGACAGGAAAGACGAGTCTACAAAAGAAAGCATTATTCCAGTGAATTTGGCCCAGGCAAACACATCTCACCTGTTTACCACATGCGATGGAGGAACACAATTGTACTGACTTCTCAACCTACTATAAGGTGGAAGCCAAAATTATTAAGATGTTTGCACAGTCAAGACACCAATGCAAAATTACAGAGTTTGTAAACTGGAAACTGAAGTGACAATTCATTAGTGAAATTGTAGAAAATAATGTTGTGCAACTAATATGTGCTTTACGAAAATTAAACTGTGCTCATGTATCACTTTGCAGAAAAGACCGTGTATAAATACAATATATGCTTAAAAAAATTAACTGTCAGACAATAAATTATATATGTTAATTTAAAATGTTTTATTATTATAATTATTTCATCTCTATGACCTATATAAAGATACAATTTGCTTTTCAATTCTTTTTTCTAAATCAACTTCTACCCCTGAAGGAGCCACTTTTCAACATTACACTAGGAAAACGCAATGTGGTTACTAATCCAGTTACACAAAAATCAATAATGCAGTAGGATACCATTTTAAAGAATAGAGAGTTCACATTTTTGATAACATTATTGGTTACTTGAACAAAGGGGAATGATGGTTTATTTTACCATGTTTACATACAGTCACAGTCTATTTATAGATCAAAAACTGACAACACATGGTTCTATAATTAGTTCAACCCTAAAGAAAATGTTATTACACAACAAACACAAATATTTATATACAATCTTTTTTTGAAAGGGTTAAATAACAAGATCACATAACATAAATAATACATTATATACTGAACAATCGATGATATATGTGTGGATCCCAGTTCATTATCGTATTTCCTTTACTTCCAGTCTGACGTCACTCCAAAATCATGATTTCTGTTATAAGCATAGTCCACTTAACTGCATAATTTTTTCCATCAAGAAGGCTATGCAATTAACCGGAATCCATTGTGATCGATTTATATAAGTTTAAAATATAAGAATGTTTATATCTTCAAATTTTTTTTCAAGTTTCAATCTGAGGCATTAAACTCGCAGAACAATTAAGTAGCAGTGATAAGCTTGGTGCAATTAAAATATTTACAAAAAAAAATTTTGACTTACTTATTTTAAGCTCTCAAGAATGAAAATTTCTAATTGACAAGAAATGGAAATCAGAAGAGGCAAAGGACAAATAGAGGATTTTAAAGTTATATAATGTTTTGATTTTGCTTAGTTAATATCTAAAAAAATCTCAAATTTACAATTGGCCTACAAAATTTTTTTTGGGGGAAAACAGGGGGGAGGTGCAAACAACAATTGAATAAATCATCAATTTTTTGGTTTTCATCCGCTCTTTATTAGCTTTAAAATTCTGCACATACTAACAGTGAAGAAAATATGTCATGATATAATCTCCTAGGTTCATGTAAGCTAGCATTGAAAAAAAACTTCGCTCTAGATTCTTTAGTTTAAAGTTGATTTTTTGGTTGGTTTTTATGTCATTGGTGTATACTCTACTTATCTTTTTATCATTCTAACATACACATAAAAATCATGAATACCATTTTCATTGTGTTTCATAACTGTTTGAGAAACATACACGTTTACAATAATTTCATAGTGATCGTTACACTTATACTGAAGTTATTGTCTGTGAACCAGAAAAATACTAGCTTTTGGTCCCTTTTTGTCCCTTAATTACTAAACCGCTACAAACAATAACAATACAGTAAAATACATCTTCTTCATTACAAAATTCATTAAGAAATCAGGGCAAGTAACTTTTCTTCCGGACAAGTAAAATCTACACTTTCACTTGGGGACAAGTGGTCACAACAAATATTTCCACACCCCTGATAAACATGGTACATTCAGAATCTTGACTTAATTATTTTAAAAAAAGCTTTTAGAATTTACCTTTTCAATACTACCCAGCTGCTTAACCTTCTCAATAGTTTTCTTTAACCTTGGTGACATAGGAATATTTTTAAAAGTAGAAGTTTCTGGTTTGTTAATTATGGGAGTCTGTTCTTCAGATATATTGTCAGCAACCTGTAAATAAGAAAAGAAAATTGATAATTTTGATAACATCTCAAAATAGTGAAAACTACAAAGTCAATACAACTAACCAAGTAAGACAAATATCAACTGTATAACATATTTCCAGGGCCTTGGGTCAATTTCTTTTTAAGCCACTCTCTCAATTTTTTTTGCCAGCTCACATAAAAATGTTTTTGTTTATAATTTGTTTTCCTTCTTGTTCACAAAAAAACATCAGTTTGCAGCATTGTTGGCTCATTCATTATAATTCTACATGTCTATTTATGATCTACATTGTAATTAGAACAAAATTTCTTGAATTTTTTTTAATATACATGTACTGTAAAATTTGACTTCTGGGGAAACAGGGTTCATCATCAATCATTCTATTGGATACTGCTGTCTAGTTAAAGGACAAAGAATAAAATCAGAGATTTTTCTTACTTTTGAACCCTTTCTTCAAAATCATGCTTTCTTTTCCGAACCATCGTTAAAAGTAAATGTTGAGACCTAAATTATGCTTAAAACAGGTGTGCAGCTAAAACAATTGTGAAGTACCCACTTCAAAACAATCATTTTTATCAAAAGTTGTAAAACAATCCTTTAGTTGACATGTGACGCTGTTTTACCACACATTTTCATTAAACATTACAATTAACATATTTTTTAATTAGTCCATTGTTGCCCCATTGCTTTCAAATGCAATCAGCTGATTATTGATTTTCTGAAAAAATTGAGACTGTGACAAGTTCAGATGAAATCCAAATTAAGTCTGATAAAACCTGAAACCAAAATAACGAGTAGACGAATTCAATCCGTTATATTTCTTTCGCCAAATTCTTTCGACATTCATGATTCAATGATTTTTTATTGCCATTTTATATTTTTTTCGCAAAATGCAAAAAATGGCGACCCCAAGCAGAAACCTTATATTTTCATCATTATCAGAGTGACAATAGGAATATTCAGTACATGTTATAAACATGATAAATAATTCAACTCAAATTAGTAAAGTAAAGCTATAAAATTCTTTTAACAGTTGTTTAATTTGTAGCAGTGCTTACCCATACCTAGTTTAATAATATTTGCCTGCCATTTGCTGTGCTAGTAAAGTAATCCTTTAGCTCAGTTGGTACATCATGCTCTCAGGATATAATATTGGCACGCAATAATAAAACCCATGATTGTAAGAAATACAATACCAATATAAATTTTTAGGACATTAATGTTCCTTTTGCACTGTCTTACGGTGTTTATATATCCCAACTCATTTGCTATGCCTGTGTCTGTAGTGAAGTTTTGGATTGCAAAGAACATAACCTATGTATTACTGGAAAATTATTAACTTGGGGATTTAGTTACCACAAATTACTTAAAAACCTTTACTAAATTCTTCCATCATGTCCATAGATACAAAGGTTTGGTTTGGAAATTTGGCTGTACCTGCAAAAAACTTATTTCAGCGGAACAGCACATCCTTAATTTTACGATGATGTTGTTTACAGAGCCTGGAAATTTATATACGACCCTTGTAAACTTATCAATCCTTTGAACAAACTTATTCTAAAAGATTACCAATTCAACACTGTAATTAGATCTTTGAATATTGTTTTTATCTGTATAAATATTCATTTTGTTATCAGTAAATTAAAACGATACTAAATAGCATTTTCATACACATATACACTAGCACTAAGGCTTCCAAAACGGTCATATATTCCGGTCATTTGTGTAGTGTCCGGTAAAAGTCCAGCTGGGCAAAAGATGAAACAGTCATCTACTTTTTAGTTCTCAACGCTTTCTTAAGAGACAGTCATTTTAACATAATTCACGATCCTTTCGACCCAACCTTTTGCCTTTAACAGCCACACATTTCCGGTCATATAAGTGACATGATCATTAAGTACTATCAAAACAACCCCTACTTTAATACCTTCTAATTCTAATCAAGGCTAATTAGTTGTCGAACAGCTGAAATTTACCTGAGGTCATATTTTCTCTGACTGTTTTTGACCTCTTTACACTAAATCCATTGGATGTTGGATGTGAACCGATTGATATCTTAGTTTTAAACACGATTTCTTTTATTAGTTGTTATTGGCTTTGAATTAGCTGTCAGTAACTGCGAGTACTCTCATATCTGTACTTAGTGTCTTTTGTGGTAAAGGATGTATATTATAAATACCCTGCCATGTCTGGTATGTGTTTTTGTTAAGATGTTTTTCAGCTTTGTATTGATCTGATGAGTTAAGCCATTTACAACTGATTTTTAAAGTTTGTTCTTATGTTGTGCTGTAACACCACTGTCCTAGACTAGGGGAGGGTTGAGTGCTCTCACAAACATGTTTAACCCAGCCACATTCTTTCTGTACCTGTCCCAAGTCGAGAGCCTGTAGGCAGTTGTTGTTGGTTCATGTCTGTCATATTTGTTTTTCATAAATTGTTTTGTTATAAATCTGGCCGTTAAGTTTTCTCAATTGAAGTGTTTCATATTTTCATGTCTGGGCCTTATATAGCCAAACTAAACTGTATGGGGTTTTCTCATTGTTGAAGGCCGTACGGTTGCCTATAATTGCTTATATCCACTTCATTTAACTTTGGTGGATAGTTGTCTCATTGGCAATCATACCACATTTCCTTATTTTTATACTGTATACCTTTTTAGAATGTCACTTTATTCTAAAACAATAAAAAAAGACTTATCTTTATTCTATAGCAATATCCGGGACTCATTTCACAAAAAAATCATGAGAAAATTTTCAGCCCCATAGTTATTTCTATTTTTGGTAGATACACAATTCATTTGAAATTTGATGTCGAAAAAAGTTTGAACTCCTCTTTTACTTTTAGTTGTAGTCTCAGTGACAAAAAACCCATTTCCCATTAATACTGGTTTCCTATCTTTAAATTGGTCTCTCTTTCTCTATTGTTTTGTCCATTTTATATACATTCTTAATTCTCCCTTTATTATAGCACATGTATGTAAGATTTTAAAAGGGTGCAAATGGACCCACCCAGAGCGGCGTGACTTTTTACCCCAATATACCCCAATATACCCCAACATACCCCAATATACCTCAAAAAGCAGTTTAAACATAATTTGGTTGAATAACAATGTTACACTAGGCATTTAAATGTTATTTTAACGACATTAATACTTTATTTTATGAATATATTTAATTTTAAATCACTTTTTCCCTCGTAACTTGTTCTGTTCATGTCAGCCGCTTACGATCACAAAATGACTTTTTACCCCAATATACCCAAATATACTCGAATAAACAGTTTCAACACAATTTCCACGATAAGGAATGATATAACAAGCAGATATATTAAAATTGAACACAACTGTTTACATTTTTTGTGCATTTAGAGGCTTTTAAAACACGGGTTCTTTATTCATGTATTGACGAAGGTTACACTAAAAACCCGAACGAACGAACCTAAAAATATACCGGTAAATTTTTGCAATTTCTTTTTTCTCCCTTAAAATTTTGAGATTGTAAATGCATTTTGTGTTTTGTTTTCTATATGATGTTTTTTTCTAAAATAAAACTCGAAATTTTTTCTCAAATTTGGAATTATTTTCTCAAATAATTGTTTTCTTTGAAAATAATATATAATCCTTATATGTTAAACATTTAAAGTTTTCTTTTTATGTTTATAAAATGTTTGTATCTTTCACTCAGTTAGGACATTGGTCAGCGGAAATTCTATGTTGGTCAGGTCGGTGTGTTCACGCTTCTCGGACCAACATCTGAAATTGTTTGTCATGCCAAGAAATCCTTGCTCGAAACTCCGATGGACCTCCTACGGCATCCATTACTAGTTAAAGATTAAATAGGAAAATATAAACCTTTCAAATGTAGCGTTTATAAAATAAAAATATTCCCTGTGGAACACCCCAACCCCCTTTTTTGCGCTCTCTATTTTCAACCCTCAATTAAGCTTTCCAATCTAATTAATTTAAAAATTAAAACCTAGCTTTCTAACCGATCTTTTCGTGTACCGGACCGGCAACTCTCGTTATTTTATAAGAAAATCTACAATGCCGTTATACACATGCGTGTTGTCTGCTTGGAGTCTCCGCACAGGCACTTGACTCAGAATAAATACCGTATATGGAAAGTGGAACTACAATTCAAAAACATAAAGTCCGAAGGCACATAGAAGATTTTTTTTTTTTTTTTTTGCAAAGGTGCCGGGGTAACCCTCCATGTGTTCAAAATATACATGAAATATCATAACCCCGAGTTTTCGATCTGTTACATGCCAAGAAATCCTTGCTCAAAACTCAGTGGTCCTCCTACGGCACCCATTTGTAGATTTGATTTTATTCAACAAAATAATGTATGTCCTGCATGTACGTATCGCTTTGAACACGGACATATGCCTATACCAAATGGTCAATATTAATCATCCATGTAATTTGCTCTATGGTAATTTTTTAGCTTGTAAAGGTAAAAAATCCATGTCGGAGAAAGGTGGTTTTTTTTTGTCCAAGAGATTAATGAAATTTACCGGTAAATGGAGTTACAGTGAATCCAATTCAATTTAACAATGGTGGGTTGAACCTGGTTTTATGGCAAGCCAAATCTCTCTCTTATAGGCAATGTTAGAAATACCGCTAAATTGACAATAAAATTTGTATTTATGGCGAAATAATACACTATAAAATCTTGAAATTACTGAGGCAAAGGGTTTTTTTTTTAATTGCGAACATATCAAAAGTACTATACAGAAAAAAAATCGGCACTTTACAATCTTTAATTAAGCACAAAAAAAATTATCAATAAAAAAAAAGAGTGCACTCAAATATCTTGGCTGCTTTATTTATCATGATTGAAGAATGTTGAAAATCTGTAATATTATCTTGATTGCTGTTTCATTGAATATCTCACATCTACTTTATTAATATACAGAATGCTTTAAAATTGTTTTTAAAATCAGGAAAAGAAACTTGAATTGTGTCTTGTATCTTACTAATCGTTGACTGAAAAAGAAAAAAATGA